GGCTGCAGCCCCGTCGCCCCCTTCACTCCTCCTCTTCTTCCCCTCTGCCACCCAAAACCGGTCTCTCGCGTGGTCCGGGAGGGGGTCGCGGGTCCCCGCCGGGCAGGCAGAGCTCAGCTTTTATTTACGAGAGCGTTTTGCACCGCCTCCGTGTCCGCCCGGCGCGGCCACCCCGCGCTTTGGGCCACGGGCGCTGCCATGTGAAGTGCAGCAAAGCTCCAGCAGCGCCGAGGGATGGGGACACATCGCTCTGCTGCCTTGCTCCCCCCTCTTGCACTGTCCCCGTGTCCCTGTTTCTCTCCAGTGCCCGAGGCCGCATGTCCCCACCGCCGGTGACCAGAGGGGAGCAGTGGCACAAGCTGGGGCACAGCCCAGCCCTCCCTCCACTCGCCTCCACTGCCATGGAGGGGGAGCGCAGGGGCTGCCCCCACGCAAGCCTTTTCCCAGAGCCCGCATCCACTGCACGCCGTCATGGGACCCATAGCACATTGCCACCAGCGATGATGGCCAGCAGCACGGCCACATCGGGGTGGCTGGTGGCACCCTGGTCACAAAACCCCTCACTGGCTGCAAATCTATCCCAGATGTAAAGTAAATTAGAATAGAGTAGACTAGAATAAACCAAGAATAGAATAAACCAAGAATAGAATAAGAATAAGAATAAGAATAAGAATAAGAATAAGAATAAGAATAAGAATAAGAATAAATAAGAATAAGAATAAGAATGGAATGGCATGGAATAAGAATAAGAATGGAATGGAATGGAATGGAATAGAATAGAATAGAATAGAATAGAGCAGTTCAAAGGGACATACAATGATCATCCAGTCCAACTGCCTGACCAATTCAGGGCTGACCAAGTTAAAGCATGTTATTAAGGGCATTGTCCAAATGCCTCTTGAACACTGACAGGCCTGGGGCATCGACCACCTGTCTAGGAAGCCCGTTCCAGTGTTTGACCACCCTCTCAGTAAAGAAATGCTTCCTTATGTCCAGCCTAAATCTCCCTCAGCACAGCTTTGAGCCATTTCCATGCATCCTGTCACTGGATACCAGAGAGAAGAAGAGCTCAGCGCCTCCCTCTCCACTTCCCGTCCTCAGGAAGCTGTGGAGAACAATGAGGTCACCCCTCAGCCTTCTTTTCTCCACACTAGATAAACCTTGCCAAATTAACCTGCCCTGAGCTCCAAACTCGCTAAACACCACCTCCACCTTGGCTCTCTCTTGAGGCCACGTTATTTGGGCTTGGGGGCAGTGCTCTGCGCTGGCTGCAGCGCAGACCTGCTTTCAGCCGGAGCTGTAATAATGCATGTGCCCTGGCAGCCTGACTCTGCTGCACAGCATTAGTCTGGGCTCCTCCAAACATCAACGCTTGTCTGGGTTTTAGCTCTAAATGCAAGTGAGAAGCACTAAAGGGAAGTCGTATGTGGGCTCTCTGGCTTGGGGCTAGGTTCTGCTCCCTTTGAAGTCAGTAAAAGGTTTTGCCATTGACTTCACTGGTTGGAAGAATTAGTTGTGGGATTTTTTTTTTTTTTAACATCATCAGACATTCATTGCACTCTCCCACGAGGGCAGGTTGAATTATCTGTTGTGAATAATTTATCCACTGAATTTAGTCCTTTTTCTGTTCATGTATAAAAAGTGCCATTTGCATTCACAATTACAAGTGTTCAATAAGAGCAATATGAGCACATCATTCAACTTACAGGTCTCTCCTGCCTTCTGCAAGGGCAGACGAGACAGAAGCCAAGATTGTGGCTGGAGGAGGAGTGAGTTACGTTTTACAGAGTGCAGTTCATAAACATGCCCAGTACCCGGAGAGACAGGAGGTCGGACCAGAACCTTCACCCATAGGCGTAAGTTGCTCAATCTGCCTCCATCAATTGTGCCACATCGTGAGTTCCCCCATCACTTCGTACTATTTCTGCTCTTTAGATAGATGGAGGAAAGCTGATAAAAAAGAGAAAAAACTAAATGCTGTCGTGCAAATGCAAATACACAGAGCCAGGCGTCCTTTGGAAATTTGAAAGATCAAAACCTGGTCATCTATCTTGGGAAAATGTGCACAAAAATGCTAATAAGACCTGGCCACATGGCTGAACTTGCAATTTTTGCACTTTCATACTGGCACTCTGCTACATTTCACCAATCCTTTATATTTCCCCATTTCTTCTCACAAGCCTTGAGTCCAAAGGAAGGAGATACAGAGATGCAAAAGGCAGAGGACAGATGACTTCATGTGTCACAGCTGTATGGAACAGACAAGTTATTGTGCCCTCTTTCTTTTTGGGTGAATATCTGCAGCCATGACGGAAAGGGTGGACTTTCAGCTTGTTTTTCAGTCAACATAAAATCCAAGTGTTAATGGAGGAAAGTGGCTTGAGGTCAACCTGAAATGACTACTTTAGAAATGTTTTGACAAATTTAATATTTTTTTACACATTTTGTTTCAATCCTTTTTGCACATTTAAAAATATGATTTAACCTTCAAGGTTATTTAACCTTAAAGTACCTCTGGAAAGGGGTAGTCATTCTAAAATGAAATATTAAAGCATCGAATTTTGAAAGTGACAAACGAAACATTCCCATTTTTCCTTTTCTTTTTTATTTTATTATTTTGTTATAACCTGAAGACATCTATGGATCCATCATGAACTCATGACATGCTTTGGTCAACCTGCCCTTGCAGGGCTCAATAGGAAAAGCTTTAGACAGAGTGTTCACCTACTTCTAACTGAAGAAGAGTAACGCTGAGAGGTGGTTATATTCATGCAAAATAGCTCTTCCATCTAGAGATGCTTGGACATCTGAGTGCTGTATGATTGAGGAGGTTGGGACAAAATGTTCTCTGCCACATCTGTTGTGCGCATGTCCTCATGTGGAATGGGAACTTCGCACACAGAGATGAGTGGCATTCCCTTGCCTGTTTGGTTCCCCCTGCTATCGGCTGGGATTTCCCCTGGAAGCAAATAGCATGGTGTCATTTTTGCAAAACTGTAAGGGGATACAGGATGAGCTGTGTGAACAGCCTTCCAAGCTGAGCCAAAGTGGTTTCTGGAAAAGGATGGTGAGGAGCTGGATGAAATGAAGCCAGAGACATTTTCTTCCATGTGGTCCTTTTTTATTTACATTCTAGGAAGCTTCTGCAAAGCCTATGGAAGCAATACCTACTACTTACTGTTTTTTCTCAGAGGTTTTAAACTCAGCACCCTGAATTGTGGTAGGGATTTCTTTATGGCTTCCCTTCATCTCTGTAGGTCTGAAATGGAAGTCTGCTTCTGACAGTGAAAAATGTCTTAACTCTGTCTCCCTGGCAGGGGGGAAGAAAGGCTGACAGACACCTTGTAAAGTGAAAACAAATGAGGAGCTGTAATTTAAACGCACAGAGAGACTCCACAGTCAGCTGGGAGCTCCTGGTGACCTGCAGAAAAGGGGCAGCCAAGCAGCTGCGGTGGGAGAGCTGTTTCTACTGCACCCCCCCGACCTGGCTTAGTCTGAGAGGGGCATCTGACACAGCGGAGGAGATCCCATGCCGAGCTGCACAGCACAGCCACGACAGTGGGTTTATTCCAGCTGAAGGGGATATTGAAAAGGGTCTGTGGAAGAAATGCTTTCAAAGGTGGATTTTTTCATCTTTAGAATCAATATTAATGAAGAAAAACAGACAAGAAATATTATATAACAAAACTATTCAAAAAAGGTCATTTAAAAAAAACATGTAGTGTTTATCAGTATACACTTTTTGACAGAAATTAAGGACTTTGAGGTGAAGACTCTCCTCTCCTTGTCCCCTGGACATATCCTACAGCTGTTTTGGGCTGCTTGCTGAAGGTTACTGTCACAGACTGCCAGTCCAGCTCCCAGCCTTGGCTCCATCACTGACCTGTGCTGTGATCCTCAGGAAGCCACAGCTTCGCATCATTTCAGCCGAGGGTGCCTTCTCCAGCAACCCTCAGGCACCACAGTCCCGTCCCAGCCTCACTCCCTGCGGAGTGCTGGAGCCACAGGGGCAGCCCCACAGCTGGAGCCATCAGGTGAAACAGCAGCAGCAATAATTACAACCCAGCCTCACCTGGCTTTTCCCCAGCGATTACACCACGCAGACGCTCGCAATTCCCCCAGTGACTGCAGTATGTGGCACAGAATGAATACTGAATAAAAATACCAGGATTCACCAAGTATGAATTAGTGACAGAAGTGACAGCTAGCAAACCACCTTGGCCCTCATTTTGACAGAAGCCCCAGAGTATTTTGGTGTTTCAAGGCTGCCTCACGTGCTGAACGAGAGCAACAAGCACAGGGTGACAGGACAGAGGTGTCTGAAAATCTCTGCAGGAATTTTTCACTTCATGTTTCATTTCTAAGTAGCTTCAGTGACTCCAGAGAGTCAGGAGCTGCCTTCTCAACATAGTACCCAGGACATGCTCAGTTTTAAGCCCGAGTTTACCCATTTTCTGCTGAAGTTCTTTACTTTTTTTTTGTTTTATTAGCATTCTCTACAGTGTTTCTACCATCACATACACTATAGTGTATATATAATTCATAGGGCCCAAAGATGCTACATCAATTTGAAAATAGCAGGTCTTCCTAATGATAAGTATTGAATCTAAATTGCAGAAAGTGAATTGCAAGACTTTGGCCAGCACAGTGCCTGCATCTAGACCCCAGCTGGTGATGAGAGAAAGTCATCAGGCTTTTAAAGAGCCATAGATAATTACCATGCCAGGGTCTATAATTTAAGGATGAGTACAGGGGAGTCCAGACCAACAACATGTTCATAGGGAAAATAGGCCCAGTACCTGAAAAGTTACTTCAAATACCGCAATTACTTCTTACGTGCTTAGGTGTGCTACTGCACAGATAAACGCTTCAATGCATTACAGTATCAGGAAATGGAAGAGATGCTGTTTGTTGGATTACAAAATCAATGGGCTCATTAATGAAGACATAAGTAATGTCAGATCTCTGCTGATACCTTAAGCTCTGCTTAGGGAACCACTGGGACTTAAAAAAGATAACAGCTAAAACCAGCAAAAAAAAAAATCAGAAAAAGAAATGGGAGTTAAAGAATCCCTCTTATTTTCCTTATGGGCCTTCTTGCTGTAGCACATATCAGTGGGAAGTATCCACGCATACAGGGACAGAGGAAAAGTGTCTGGATTTCTAACATTTGCCACTTGTTTGCATTTGCCTCCCAACAGATCCATATCCTCCAATATTGTATATTTCCTCCTTCCCACTCCAGCCCATGCGGCAGCAGCTACAACCTCCTCAGGGCTATTTCCTTTGTTACTCCTCCCTGCATTTTCCCAGGTCAGA